CAGGTGAAAAGGAGGAACCCAGACCCAGACCAGTGGTCATTCCATATGTTGAGGGAGTATCAGAGAAACTGAGACGTTTATTTTCTAAACATAACGTCCCAGTGGCTTTTAAACCCCAAAATACATTAAAGACTGGTTCATCCCAAAGATCCAGTCCCCCGGCACAAACAGAGTAATGTTGTGTATGTTGTTCAGTGTCAGGAGGGTGATCAGTCTTACATTGGGGAAACTAAACAGCCACTGGCCAAAAGGATGGCCCAGCACAGAAGATCAACATCATCAGGCCAGGACTCTGAGGTCTACACTCATCTCCAGGCCAGCGGTCACTCTTTCAAGGATGAAGATGTTCACATCCTGGACAGAGAGGAACGATGGTTTGAGAGAGGAGTAAAGGAGGCCATCTTTGTGAAAAGAAACCGTCCATCATTAAACAGGGGTGGAGCCTCCAGGTTCAACTGTCCCCCTCTTACAATGCTGTGATTGCTAGTATCACTCAGCCCTCTGTGAACAGTAAACAGCCATCAGGTGCTAATGATCCATTGTTAGGCTGATGGTCCTTCTTGACCATGTGATCAGCTGGTTCTGGTTGTCAACAACAAACTGGTTGATCCACTCTGAGAAGGTGCTATTTAAGAGACTGAGCTGAATACAGCACCTCAGACTGAGGAAGTCCTCAGGATGGAAGATGAAACGTTTCTTCAATTTTTGTTTGGTTTATTTTTTTAATATCCAGAGGACCAGACTTAACTTTTTTAGATTTCTGGGTGTTATTTCTATTTCAAACTCCCTATCACAATAAAAGCCTTCTATAGCATCACTCAACAATAAATGTTGTTTTTCACCCGACCCAAATGTAATTAAACTACTCTGCTCCCAGTGTTTATAAGCCTCCTCATTTAGTCAACTGTGTTCTTGTGTTCCTTTTTTCATCTTCCTACATTTAATTAACACATTTTTAAACTTTTTACAAGCCTGTGCTTGTCTTCAAAGCTCAGAAATGGCTCCTAAACATGTGATTAATTCTCATCTGAGAGACTTTCCTTGTGGGATAGATTAAGATCTGATTGTCTGTCTGATGCTGCAGTTTTGACTCACTCCCAAACCAAGCCTTATCAGACTCAAAAAGAGCAACTGACTCAATCAGGCAAGTTTATCTCTAATTAACACAGATTATCTGAGCTTTAGCGTCGCTCCGTAGGCCAAGCAGAAGGGTAATTTGTGCATGGAAGGCTATTATTGCCCTGAGGCTGTTGATCTTCTCTGTTCAGGGCTTTGGGTCTCAGAACCATGTGACTGTGATCATGTTGCTTTTCAACGCTGGTGCGTTCATGAATTATACGCTCTGCCAGAGAGAATTATGGCAAGAGTCTTCTACATTTCTCCTTCCATCTGCAGACGCTAGACATCCACAGGAATGTCTCTGTTACATGTATTTATTTTATTCTGTAATCTATCAGAAATAGTTTGTTTGTTTATTTGTGTTTGTCAAATTGGATGTGGCAGAGCTGATTAATTACTTCCTGTGAAGGTACTCTGTTACTGAGAGACCAGGCAGAGTGCTTCATTAAAGAAGTGCAGAGTCATTTTGCATGCTGGCACGTTCACCTTAAAGCTGCGCTGCCCTTTACATGGATCCTGTAATAATAATATTAATAATTATTGATAAGGCAAAGAGCACGGCTGCATCTTCCCACTCGTTAGGATCTCGTTTGATCACCTGCACATGGTCTTTAAAAACGTGGGATAATTGCACAAAATGACCTGCATGTTAATGACATCGTTCCTTCTGGGTAGGATCATTACAAACTCTGTGCTTTAGGAAAACAAAATGATAATTTAATAACTTTCCTTTGCAGCAACTCTTACGTGCTGTGATTTAGGACAGACCCCACCCCAATGGCCCCGTGATGTTGTTCTTCTTAATGATGATTAAAATAAAATAATTTGAATGCACGGATGTGATTTCTGCACATGAAGGTCACACATGTGTCCTGTTTCCTTCTTGAAACAAATGGTTTGGTAAAAGCAACATTTTAGTAGAAGTTGGCCCATGGGAGGAACATTTCTTAGTTATCAACATCCCCTCACTCTGAAGAAGGAAACAAGAGTCTGTTACGCTTCAAGGACCAACGAGTTTCTGCTGGAGTAGTTTACTGAACGTCCCCGCGACCAAATTTAAACAATTAGAAGACCGGAATATTTCATTACTTCCTAAATGTAACGTACTTTTGTGTCTCCATGGTGTCTCAGAACAATGTGATTGAATATTTTTACATTACTTTGGTACTGTGGATGTTCAGGGCAGAGAGTGGACTGGGTGAGACTGTTTAGTCCAGTTTGTTGATTCATACACTTGACAAGTTTTTAGTTTTTACAAAATGTCATTTGTACTAAACAAAAGTGTCGATCTGACTGTGATGACTTATTTTAAATTGAACTCTTTTAAAGTGAAAAGCTTCTAAATGAACTGAACCAAAGGATAAAAAGATGGGTTTTAACAATGTATTCATTTACAGTATGTGTATATATATATATATATATATATATATATATATATATA